ATCAGCCAATTTTAACATATAGAGACCATCAACTAATATTCCAGAACCAATTCGATTAGAGTTCAAGAATATATTATAACAACCATCTCCTTGAGTAGATTTAAAACCAGCCAAATCAAGTTTGCTTACAGAAACTAAATTACGGGAAATAGATGGAACATAAAGAGTCTGATATAAATCTAGACAAAATCCACCATCTAAAATGAGACGATAGGTGCCAATAGCTTCAACTGGTGCCTTGTCTCGATTTCCCATCAGTAAGTAGTTTTCACTTGGATTTATGGTCTGGATCGTAAGGAATCCCTGTACAGAATTCGTTACATGTACATTAGCACCACTATCAATCCACCAAGCTTTAGAAGAAACATGAGTAAGATTAGATTCGAAAAATCTTACGGAACCCATAGGATTACCTTTCTTTTCGAACCATTCTCTTCTTTTAGTGCAATCTTTCTGAAAGTGTCCAACCTTTTTACAAAAGTTGCATCTGTAATCTTTCTTTGCCTTTTTCTTCGAATTAGCTTGATCGTAATCGTTTATTGTGGGTGATGCTCTTTGATGGCTCTTTTTCTGCCTTTTCCCAACTTTAAGTCCAGCTCCTTGGACATAATGGGCAACTTTAATGCCTTCACGACCAAGTCTAGCCTCCTCTTGGACTAATTTATTAGTCAATTCATTAGATGTCCATCTTTCATCAATTGCATTATAATTGATCTGAAATGGTCCATACTGAGGAGGTAGTGAATTTAGGATAAATGGGACAAGAAATGAATCGTCCACACTCATTCCTAAAATCTTTAATTTGGGCGCAAGATTGGTCATTTCAATGCAATGTTCATGCATAGACCTTGTCCCATCATACTTTATGGTTGTAAGATCTGCCATAAGTTTCCCTGCAAGGGATTTGTCTGCAGTCTTAAACCGTTCTTCTATAGCTGTTAGATAAGCTTTAGCTTTTTCTACATCAGGAAGGGAAGTTTTAACATTGCTAGCTATTGTCATTCTTAAAAACATCATGCTCAATCTGTTCGCTTTCTCCCAAGCTTTATGGAGTGCCTTTTCTTCCTCAGTACTAATTATAGTTAAGGGATCTGGCTCTTCTTCACGAAGTGCCAAATCCATATCTAGTACTCCTAATGTGAACTCAACTTTCTCTTTCCATTCTGAAAAGTTGGTTCCAGTGAGGATTGGAACAGTGGAGACCATAGATGACAAATTAGCAGGAAATGATGCTGCGATTTAGAGATATAACAAGCTTTTAATTGAGGTTCAAAGTTAAACAACACATTAACTAAAATTATTGAAAGCATATGACTATTATTTATAATGCTCCTGTGGGTAGTCACTATAAGATTTCATAAGGTCATAGCTTTCGAAAACTTTTCTTAAATGATGTATCAAATTAATTAAGCTATCTGTGGATATACTTAATTAACTCATATACAAACATTCTAATAAATTTTTGATCATGTTTATGAAAATAGCCTACCTGTGGGTAGCTAATTAATACATAAACATATCAAAATTTCTTTTAAAATATTTGGTTTTTATGTGCAAATCATTATATGATAAAACCTATTATGGTGATATCAATTTCTTAATTATGCACATTAAAATAAACCAATTTCTTATCAAAAAAAAAAAAAAAAAATTATTTTTGAAAACCGAAAGTTAAACTAATGCAAGTCTACAAACATCATAACTTGCGGTTCTAATTTTCAGTTCTTTAAACCATAGATCTATTATTCTTAATGGATTAATTAGATGTTCATAACCATAAGCTCTGATACCACATGTTAAATATACTTTAACATGAACCCTAAGATCTTAAACATCTATATTAATCACATAATAGAAACATAAAGAGGGTTAAAGTAATACCTCCACTCATTGTAGAAATGATGCTTTCTTTAATGGTTTCTTGAAGCCTTCTTTAGTTTTTCCTTTGAAGCTTTCTTGATTAATGGCTTGTAGCTTTGAAAAGAAACTCTTAAATCTTTTAAGTGGAAAATAAAGTTTCTCTCCCCTCTCCTATAAACCCTTTCCTTTAAGTGTTGTTTTTGTTCATGATGATTTTTGATGGAGCAAGTCATCTATTTATAGGTGGGGAGAGGACCTCATTCCTCATTAGGGTTTTGCCTTCTAATTTAATCTCAACCATCCATCAAAGTAGAGATCAAGGCAATGGTGACAAGTGTGAGGACAAGTGTTCTTTTGCATGGTTCTCTTAACATAAGAGTGACATGTGTCTTAACACTTGTCCATTTATGAACCAAACATGACATGCAACTTAACAAGTGTTCTTTTGCATGGTTCTCTTAACATAAGAGTGACATGTGTCTTAACACTTGTCCATTGATGAACCAAACATGACATGCAACTTAACACTTGTCTCTCTTATAAACACTTGTCCTCTTATTGTTCTTTAAATTCATTTAGGAATTAACTCCTGAATAACCAATTTTATTGGTTACCAAAATTTTATAAAAATATAACAATCCCAAATAAGAGACCAATTAACTATAAGACCACATACATGGGTAAGAATAAATAAATTTCTTACAAAGCACTCTTCACACACAATTTCTTTATCTCCTGCAAGTGATTTTGAAGACAATGTCAATTGAGTAAAACCTCCTTAGTCCTTACTTAATGTTATTATTATTATTTTCCGATTAAAACCACTCATTATTATCTGCATGTAGATTCTTCAAACCAAGGTCTAGGAATCGTGGAGAGATGGTTTAGATTGTATCTATCAGATTATGAACCAGCAGCTCCTGCATAAGAGAACACTAAGAACTAAATAGTTGAAATACTAAATATAAAAGAAAGTTGAAATACTAAATAGAAGCAAAAGGTTTAGTACATACTTCAAATTGAAACTAATGTCCTCTGTCTTTTTTGTTTTTGGAATCATCCTTACCACAATCACTCTGGTTCTTGGTTTCTTTCGGTAACTTTACCAGATTTCGCAATTGTTAATAAAGAAGTTGTGACACATAAGTACTAGGATGGATATAAACGTTATAGATGCGGAGTTACTTACTGAACATAAATTAATGAATATGTACGTGGAAAAATATTCCTAGATGGCCTCGATAGCATGTCAATACTAGTTTTCACCTTCTTCCACTACAACTTTTTCAATTCTCAGGTTCATGCTACTTCACAATCCTGGAAAAGTTTGAAAACTTTAATTATGGCAATGAAGCTCTGAAGTAAGACTTAAAAGAATGAAATAAATCGAATTGCCTCACCTGCCTCATTCCTGAAAAGCACATCCATCAATCTACTCTCTTGCTACTGCAATGAAAAAGTGTACTCTGGTTTTTGATGAGAGTTCGTAGTAGTTCCACATGATCCAGCGAATTAAAACGTAAAGTAGTTTATTGAAAGCAAACTTAGAGACACGATTTCTAGAGGAAGACTTGTTTCTGGTTTGACATGTTATTCAAATAACATCCTTGTCCCTAACCTTGTAGAAATTGAAGGTAAGCATTTGACACCTGAAGTTTATCAAAATGTAAGCCTCAGTTAGATCAAGAAAGCAGTCCCATATGGTAAAAAAAACATATTGAAAACGCAATGATGACTTGATGAGGGAGGATGTCTTGAATACATTGTTGTTTTCTTGCCAAATTGACTGAGCAGTGAACTCGGATAACTTTGTTAGTCTCTTTCCTGCATCGTCCTTGTATGAAGAATTATACCATATGTGCACTTTGAAGTTGTTCCTATCTGTGTTCCTATATGCTAAAGCAACAAAAAAATCAGACTAGAAGAGTAAGCAATCTCATGTGCATATTCAGCATTGTTATAGATAAACCTACTGAGAAGTTGACCAACCTGCAAAGATCTCATATATCTTCCTTCAAGATACTTTTTACGATAACCCTTCGAAAGCCTCATCATTGACCTCTTTGGAGGTATTTCTCCAGAGATTTAATCCTGGAACACATCTCAACTCTGGTTATGACACAACCTTTAAGTTAACCGACTACAAGAAAGTTTCCTCAGAAAGATAAGTATTGAGTGAGGTCCATCTATGTTTAACAAACTTGGGATATACATAAAAAGGTACACGAGCAAATTACATCAAAGCTGACACTGCTATAAACATAGAGGACACTCAGTATCCCTCTTAAACATTTTCAAATTGATATCTTAAACATCTATGGGATTGAAACTCGATACCTTTCTCAAATCTGAGAGGTGGTTGTCCGAATGAGAAAGGCTAAGTGGCATTGAGAATGCCCCAAGGTGAAATCTGCCTCTCAGGTGTTGTACCCTGAAACATGAGCTCAAGAAAGCTAAGAAACATATTCAGATACTTCATAGTGGAAACAAACAGAATCCAACCACAGAACTCACCAACACATTGTTAGCTAAAGCATGCAATAGGTCAGACTGTCAGAGGCGTTCGCCGGTGTATAACTAGTGAGCAGATTCCCAGATAGAGCTAGAGAAAACATAAAAGATAAGTTCCAGTGAACATAATATAAAACATACCATAAGGATAAGGGAAAAAAGAAGCATACTTCCTCTAAGAGACTGATTATTTCTTTGAATGCATCAAGGTAATATAATTTCCAAAATAATTTGATCTGATCAAAATTTGCAGAGGTACATGAATTTTCAGAAACACGTCAATAAGATCAATAGCTTACATGTGTCTGATTATGAACTAAACGTGATGACGATTCTCTACTCTTGTTCTAAAGCTTCCTTCCTGTTAGATAAATACGAGACACATAAATACGAATGACGGGACTAGGATAAGAATAAGAGCATTAAATTACAATACCTTGATATATATTCATGTTTGTCTGACTAAATTATGTCTTTCTCTGCAGCTGAATGTGGTACTACTCTATCTGAAACAGCAGAAGCTCATCACTATATATCAGTACCGAGAATTTAAACTTATAAGCAAAACAGATTTCTAAGAAAATGTCTGAACATATTAGAAAAATGAAACTTACAAAACCTGCGATATTAAAAATATGATATTGGTTCAACACCAAGACGACTTACATTTTTTTTACTTCCCCATTATCTCCTTGATTGGAAGGTGGGATTCAGTAACACATAGATTCTGCACGCATTAAAAGAGCATCATGTTACATGGATATATATGAGCATTACTTTGCATTTTGAATCATTTTGAGAAACCATAACATAGGTTTAAGGAATTACATGAATTTACCTTAAGATCGTTTCCAAAATATCCATTAGTCATACTAGTAAACCCATCAATATCCAAATCAGGGGACAAGTCTTCTTTTGCAAGTATAACCTTTACTATCTTTGCTAGATTAAGAGCATCTGGTAGTTCCGCCATCAACCTGTAGAACTCAATACCACAAACTTATCACGACATGTCAATTTGATAGAAAGCTTAGTCCAACAAGGAAGTTGTTTCTAAAGTAGTTACGAGGCAAACCTTCTAATGATAGCCTCATCAAGGTCAAAATTTTTGTTTGTGTATATCATGAACTTAAGAGGCAAACCTTTTCCTTTGGCCTCAAACAGTTCCAGTATATCATGAACTCATGGCCTGATATAGGAAGGCAGAAAACAAGAAGCAAGGAAGCAAGCAATGAATGAATGAAGGCAGAAGAAATAAGCAAGTAAACAAAGTATCAGACAAAGAAGCAAGGAAACAAGGAAGCAAGGAAGCAAGCAATGAATGAATGAAGACAGAAGAAATAAGCAAGTAAACAAAGTATCAGACAAAGAAGCAAGGAAGCAAGGAAGCAAGGAAGCAAGGAAGCAAGGAAGCAAGCAATGAATGAATGAAGACAGAAGAAATAAGCAAGTAAACAAAGTATCAGACAAAGAAGCAAGGAAGCAAGGAAGCAAGCAATGAACGAATGAAGACAGAAGAAATAAGCAAGTAAACAAAGTATCAGACAAAGAAGCAAGGAAGCAATTAGGAATGTGCAAAAGAAGCAAATATGTATGTATGCAATTATGCATGTATGAAATGTATGCAATTATGCATGTATGAAATGTATGCATGTATGTATGAATGTATGTTTGCATGAATGTATGTATGCATGAATGTATGTATGGATGTATGTATGTATGCATGAATGTATGCATGGATGTATGTATGTAAAAGCATTCTTCAATAATTGCCAACAATCAATCTGGAGCCCTCTGTTTCTGAGTTCTAAGATGCGCCAGATTATCTGGTATTCTCAAGAATTTGCAGCTGCAGAAGAAACGAGACAAAACAAAATCAAACTCCAAGAACAAAATTAAAACATCAAGCAAGAAGAAATAGATTTAAGAATACATTTTGGGAAAATAACATAGAAAGCCATACTATGTGGCTATTAACATATGTAAACCAGAAAATCAAAACAAGCAGAAGAATAATCAGAACAAGAATCAAACCGCTAAATATATGAATAAAACCAGAAGAATCAAACCGGTAATTCAGAACAATAACTAAACCAAGAAACAGAGCAATCACACAAAACTACACGATCTTAGATTACCTAAACCACAAAACCTAAAAACCTAAACCAGATCTTCAATTTCTGTATCCCCGATCGTTCCCAAAACCAAAATCGTCGATGGTACTGATAATGAAAATAACAAAATCCGATCGAGACAACAAAATTGAAATCAAGATGATCAACGCATCGACGTAACAAATAATTCAATTCAATAACATAAGTAGATGAATCGATGATTCGAAGTCATCGGAATTGACTTGATCGAACCCAGAATTCGAAAGATTTTGAAATGTCGTGAAAGTTAAACTGACCGTTTAAATCGATCACTGTAGCGGAATTGACGGAACGGTTCTTCTAGATCGGTAGCCCAAAGCAAGACCGCCGGAAAAAATCTCTCCGTTCTTCAACTTCTCCAGACAATTTTGTGGAAATGAGAATTTAGGGTTTTGAATCAAATGAGAAAATGAGAGAGAGAGAGAGACGTTAACTTCCATTATAGAAAATTAGAAACTTTCAAAATTTGAAATGGAGAGGATCCGCCAATGATAAAACAAAAGTATCCATTTCGTAAACATTAACAAAATAAGACGACAAAATAAAATAAAATAAAAGATAATCATAATTATATTTTTGAATTTTTCTGGTTATGTTTGTATTATTATATTTCTCAAAATTTTTTTTTTTTTTTCTTAGAGTTGCTAGAATTTGAATAAAGTGAAACTGAGAATCAATTCTCCAAAAGTTTGGCCGACGACTAATACATTAATCAATTCTCCAAAACTGTGAATATTTATATTGAGTATATAAACTAATATGAAGGTTAAGAATTTAAATTAATTAGATATAATATATGTATTTTTAATACATAACTATCTAATATATTTCTGACTAAATATAATATTATTGTTGGGCAGATTTGAGAGTTATGAACTTTTATTGTGTAATTAAAAGAATTTTTTTAAAAGTAAAAGAAGTATCAAGTGGTCTTAATAAGGTGACAGCAAAATCCACTTTTATTTTTATTTTTATTATGATTATAAAGTCTACATAGTCGTAAAATCACATTTAGTGTGAATCTTGATTCAATCACTCCCAAGGCTACTTTTTGCAGATTATGTAAATTGACATTTGACACAAAGATTAGTAAAGTTTTTGTTTTCATCTTTTTGTGTTGCTGCTTATTAGTAATAGTGGATACTGTTATTCATAGCTTGTTTAAATTCGATAACGTCTTATACAAGTAGACTAAACATAATCTGTTATATTTAGTGTTTGGGTATAAGAGAAGTGGAAGTAACTCCTCTGTTCTCTGTAATGGCTCGTTCAGTCTCTGGTGACACAGAAGCTAAGAGCTCTAGCGATCCAAGAAGCAAGCGCGGTGGCTGGATCACTTTTCCATTCTTGATAGGTTAGTTTTTTTTTAGGGGTTTTGTTTATGTTTTTTTGAACCAATGATAATGATTGTTGAGACTCTATGTGGTGTAGCTACGTTGTTAGGACTGTCCATAGCTTCATTCGGATGGATAATGAACTTGGTTGTCTTCTTAATCAAGGAGTTCAACATCAAGAGTATTGCGGCTGCGCAGATTTCAAATATTGTTCATGGCTGTGTGAACATGTTCCCTGTTGTAGCAGCCATGTTAGCTGACTCTTTCTTCGGAAACATTCCTGTCATCGCGGCCTCTGCCTTCATTTCTCTTCTTGTAAGTTCAAGAATCATTGATCCTCGTTATCTCATGTATTCTGGTAGATAAAGCTGACTAGTTCTTTTTCTAGGGAATTTTTCTAATGACCTTGATCACATCTTTGGAAAACTTGAGACCTAGACCGTGTGAAACAGACTTAGTCCTATGTCAATCGCCATCGAATCTTCAGCTCGGTATCTTGTATACAGCCTTAGCTCTAGTGATCAGTGGATCAGCTGGGACGCGGTTCACCTTAGCATCCGCGGGTGCAAACCAATATGAGAAACCTAAAGATCAAGGAAGGTTCTTTAACTGGTACTTCCTCACACTATACGCTGGATCTATTACTGGCGCAACAGCAATTGTATACACACAGGAAAATGCTAGCTGGAAACTTGGGTTCGGACTCTGCGCTGTCGCTAATTTGATCAGTTTCATCATTTTTGTGTCCGGGAAGGGATTCTACAAGCATGACAAACCCATGGGAAGTCCCTTCACAAACCTGCTCCGCGTTGTAGTCGCTGCTATTGCAAAAAGGAAAGCTCTGGTATCTAACAGAGAAGAAGACTATCACCGTGGCTTTGAAAGAGAGGCCAAGATGTCTCATGCAATGCCCTCCAAGAGCTTCAGGTGACAAACAAATGTTTTGGAAATTGGAATATTCATGAAACTAACAAAAATAGCTGTACATGTGCAGGTTCTTTAACCGTGCAGCATTGAAAACTGAAGACGACTTAGTTAACAACAAATGGAAGCTATGCTCGGTTCAAGAAGTAGAAGATTTCAAAGCCGTGTTCCGAGTTCTCCCTCTGTTGCTAGCCATTATCTGTGTTAGTACTCCCATGGTGATTCAAACAAACTTGATTATACTACAAGCTTTAGTCATGGACCGTAGGCTCGGCACTCACTTCAAAATCCCAGTCGGATCCCTCCAAGTCATAGTACTCATCACCGGGTGCATGGTTATCATAATGAACAACTGCCTTGTCTATCCAATGTACCAGAAATTAACCCACAAGCCATTGACACCGCTTCAAAAAGTCGGTATAGGCCATGTTTTAGTCATTTCAAGCATGGCGATATCCGCGGTTGTGGAAGCAAAGAGGCTGAAAACAGTTAATAATGACCATCCCATGTCGGTGCTATGGCTGGTTCCTCCCCTTGTGATAGTAGGAATAAGCGAAAGCTTCCAATTCCCCGCGAATATTGAACTATTCTATAAAGAATTCCCCGAGTCTCTCAAAAGCACCGCGACTTCACTGACCTCAGTGGTGATTGGAATCTCATTCTACCTTAGCACAGCTCTGCTCACTCTTATCCAAAGGACCACCAAGTGGTTACCAAATGACATTAACCAAGGAAGAGTTGACAATGTTTACTGGGTTTTAGTCATTGTAGGAGTCTTGATTTTTGGCTATTTCCTTGTCTGCGCTTGGTTTTACAAATACAAAAACCTCGTGGATGATGATCATGGACAAGATCCACAAGATGTACCAACTTAAGACACAACATCCTCTGTTTCAGTTTTCTCTACAATAATTTTTTTACATATCTTGAATCAGTATCTTATTTACATGCTCTGTGTAAAGTGTGTTTTTGCATTTCACCACCCTCCACATATGAATGGTCTATAGTGATATGTATGACCTCAAGATTTGGCTTCAGTAAATGGAAACTAGTAAACAGTAAAAAAGATTCATCAGTCTCTTTCAGAGAACCAATCTAATATCTTGGAATGAAAATAGAGTATAGTATGTGAGAAAACGTGGTTAGACTTTTTTTTTGTATTTATATCAAACACGAGTGACACAAAAGAACTTGACTCAACGTCTGATCGTGAGAGTATTATTTTTTTTATAAAGATTATTCAACTTTTTTTTGTAATAAAGTTTTGAATGATTAAAGCATATACTACGTACAATTTAAGATTTGGTCAAATACTTATATAGTTGTTTATTAGTTATTACATTCACCAACTTGATACTGGCAGACAACAACAGTAGATGGACTGTCAGAATCTGATTAGGTCTTTTTGGGACCAACACGATCATTAACCAAATCATCGCACCAACATAATAATTTGTTATGGATGTGGTTATATATAGTTTAAGGCTTTTATCTAACTTCATTATAACACACAGACACAAGTCAACGTAACCTTCTGTCTCTTCGTATTCTCTGCCATGGCTCTTTCAGATTCTGGTGATGACACAGAAGCACATCGCTCTATCGATTTAAATGAGAAGCGTGGTGGCTGGATCACTTTACCGTTCATCCTCGGTTTGTGTTTCTTTTTTGTTTTTGGACCAAACTTAGATACTATATGTTGATGATTAGTGTGAGGTTATTATTATGTTGGTGCAGTAACATTGTTAGGCATGTCTATAACTTCTTTCGGATGGGGAATGAACTTGATCGTTTTCTTGATTGAGGAGTTCAACATCAAGAACATCGCTGCTGCTCAGATTTCTAATATTGTCAATGGAGTTGTCAACATGTTACCTATTGTTGCAGCCATCTTAGCCGATTCATATTTTGGCAACGTTCCTGTTATCGCGGTTTCCGCTTTCGTTTCTCTGACTGTAAGAGTCGTCTAATGCTTATTAGTTATGTTCTGTGTTCTGAAATATAAAGCTTACTAGTTTTAAAACATGTTTTCAGGGAATCTCTCTGTTAACCTTAATCACATCTTTGGACTATTTGATACCAAGACCGTGTGAAACAGGCTCAGTCCTATGCCAATCGCCATCGAAACCACAACTAGGGATATTGTATGCAGCCTTAGCTCTAGTGATCGTTGGATCAGCTGGAACGCGGTTCACCTTGGCATCTGCAGGTGCAGACCAATATAAGAAACCTAAAGAACAAGGAACCTTCTTCAACTGGTTCTTCGTGGCGCTATATACAGGAGCTATTACTGGAACAATAGCAATTGTATATACACAGGACAATATTAGCTGGAAACTCGGGTTTGGTCTCTGCGCGGTTGCTAATTTGATCAGTTTTATCGTTTTCGTTGCGGGGAAGAGATTTTACAAGCATGACAAACCCTTGGGAAGTCCATATACAAGTTTGGTCCGCGTATTAGTTGCTGCTACGTTGAAAAGAAAGGCTGTGGTTTCATCTAGAGGTGAAGACTATCATCACTATGGTCTCGGAACAAAGGTGAAGACTTCTTCTGCAATGCCCTCAAAGAGCTTTAGGTGAAGACCAAAACCTTTGATGATTTCTTGAAAGTTAAACCAAAACTAAAGAGCTTTACATATGCAGGTTCTTGAACCGTGCAGCATTGAAGACTGATGAAGATTTAACTAGTAACACGTGGAGACTATGTTCTGTTCAAGAAGTTGAAGATTTCAAAGCAGTTCTTCGACTTCTCCCTCTCTGGGCAGCTGTCATGTTCCTCAGCACCCCTGTGGCTGTGCAAATGAGCATGACGGTCCTCCAAGCTTTGGTCGTAGACCGCGAACTTGGCCCGCACTTCAAAGTATCTGCTGGGTCTCTCCAAGTCATAGTACTCTTATCTGGATGTGTCTTTATCATGCTCAACAACTGGACTATCTATCCCATGTACCAGAAGCTAATCCGCAAGCCGCTAACACCACTTAAACAAGTTGGGATAGGCCATGTTTTCACCATCCTAAGCATGGCGGTATCAGCTATTGTTGAAGCTAAGAGGCTGAAAACAGTTGATAATGGCCATCCAATGTCAGTGCTATGGCTGGTTCCTGCTCTTGTCCTAGTTGGAATAGGCGAGGCGTTTCATTTTCCGGCTAATATCGCAGTATTCTATGGAGAATTCCCCGAGTCTCTGAGAAACACCGCGACTTCATTAACCTCGGTGGTGATTGGAATATCTTTCTATCTTAGCACAGCGCTTATCGATGTGATCCAAAGAACCACCGGGTGGTTACCAGATGACATTAACCATGGAAGAGTTGATAATGTTTACTGGGTCTTAGTTATAGGAGGAGTCTTGAACTTTGGTTATTTCCTTGTCTGCTCTTGGCTTTACAAATACAGAAACCTCAAGGAGAATGATTCAACAACAAGATCTTAAAGATGGTACAACCTAAAGACACAACATGTTCTCTGGGAACTCATTGTTTGAACGTTTCCATTTACCACTTTACAACTGTGTTTTCCTTTTATATTTTCACCACTCTGTAAAGAGTATAATTATGTAGTTTCTTCGTAAATGATCATTATGAGATAATTGAAGACGTATTCCAAAATTAGAAAAACATGTTTTCTCAAGATCATCCAAAAATCATTATCTTCAGAAAACATGTCTTTCTTATTTTTGGCGGGAAAACATGATTTTGCGTTTTTGTCGGAAAATATGATTTTATGTTTTTAGCGAGAAAATGTGATTTTACGTTTTTGGCAAAAAAAATGTAGTTTTACCTTTTTGGCGGGAAAATATTATTTTGCGTTTTTGGCGAAAATAAAATATTTTCCGGTTTTTCACAAATAAATATGAGATATTATTTGCAAACTATTATTTATAATTTTGTAGACAAATAGATTAATTAAAAACTAAGGGTATGTTTGTCATTTATTATATTTGGATGAACCATCTCCATTTAGATGATCCAATTACACTTATCCAAATGACTTTCAAAATTTTGCCTAAAATTTTAAAACTCATCTAAATGGTTCATCTGGATGATTTTGAATAATGTTCATCTTTTAAGTTAAAACGAACAACATCCAGATGATTCATCCAGATGAACCATCTGGATGAAGAAACGAACAGGACCTACATCATCAGTGAGGCTTATAATGATCTTTTGCGAAGAAACTTGCATAATTATACTCTTTTTTTATTTTATCACAACTCTATCCACTAGAAAATGTGCTCATAATGTAAACATTAAAACAAAACGCGTATAAAATATAGATTTGTGTACACACTTTATCAGAGAGAGGCATGTAATTTGAGATCGATGTATTTTTGCTTATGAAAAGTTAGCTTTTGTAATCATTTGTAAAATATTTATAATTTGTTAGATATGTCATAAGTAAGTACAAAAATAAAACAAGACCTAATGAGTAGAGTTCAAACTTCGTACTAGCGATGCTTTTGGACCAAACTGAGATGATGATGCTAACTAGTCTTGGGACAAAAACTGAGATCTGTTGGGACTTGTAAGACCAAGAAAATGTCATCAATTTTGGATTCACTTTTAGTGAGATGATATAAAAGATGGAGAAACTAATTCTATTTACATATATATTTGAGAATTGTTCAGTGTGGAGTTAGAAAAGAAAATAGTGAATTAATTAATGTGTTTTACATTTCTGTTTTAATCATGTTTAATGTGGTGATTGAGAAGGATCTAGAACCCACTGTCTGATTAAGAGGTTTCAGATTATGTCTACTTGCAAGTTGCAAGTCAACGTCAACGACAAATATCTGTCACAGGAGTGACCACATTCAGATGTAATTCCATTGCACAAAACCTTCGTAGCCTCTAAATCTAATTAGCTTATTCAGTAAGTAAAAGTAATTGGTCTGTGGGATTTTTTTATTTAAGGAGAACTAAGCCTTGCTCTCAAACAATCACCTTCGAAGTAGCTTCTCTTCTTCACTCTTTTCATTTTTTTCTACTTCCTCTGTTTTCAAGTTTCAACACAGACCTTAGATAACTGTGTGACCATGGAAGTACCATCTCCATACTACTCCAAAAGGGAAGAACAAACCGTTCCTCCGAAGAAAGGTCAAATCAAGATCATGATCGCTTACGATCTACTCGGATCAGCGACCTTAACCACACGGCTAATTCCGAGGAGAGGCCAAATCAAGATCAAGATTGCTCGCGATCTAATAGGATCATGGACACAATAAAACAACATCCATGGAGGAGGAGGCTATAACTAACTAAGCCACCACTCGGATCATCAGATCTTCGAAATTCACCTGAGAATCTTGTTGTATATAATGTAATGTTACTGTTGACTTCCGGTTCTTTTGAAGATGTGTGTTATTGTATAAATGTTTTTTGGGGTAAATTGTAAAGTGAATTTACAGTGTCATATAAAAAGTTTGGGGTGAATTTGAATACTTTTGTATATATGTAATATACTAATGTAAAATAATATTTTGTTGAAACAAAAGTTTATTTTAACTTGGATGTGTAAAGAATATGATTTTGATGAAGTCAAACAAATCTGTTGAAAATTGATAGGTGTAACTGAAAATACTAAGTATTTGAGGTCGAATTTCGCAAGAAAAATAAATATATGGGTTAAACTGTTAATATAGGGGTGAGGGTGACCACACCACTCAAGTTGAATGTGTTCACATTACAGTAATTGAAAAGAAAAATACAAATCAACAAATCATATCGCTAATTTTATAATTTATATAAAACAAAATTAGACAACTATTGTTTTCTTTCTGCAGCATATATAATATTTTTTTATAATTATAGCATATACAAACGTATAACTCGTTAGATGTTTTTTTTTGTTTCGATGAATTAATTTGTATTAATTAGTTATCTTATCATATGACTATGTAAATGTTTTTTTGTTTTCAGTACTATTTTTTTTAATAAATAAACTATGTTTATTGTTTGTTCTATACATATATTTCTTAGGAGAATACATCAAATATTTCTTCTCCTACACGTTCTGATCTTATAATAACCAAAATATTCCCCGACCAAAAAAAAGAAAAAAGATGTTGCTTGGCCTCCAAGGGAAAAACCAAAGAAAAGTCCTGTCTCTATAAATAACACTTTCTCACTTTCTTATCTTGTCACCTCATCATCATCATCACTCTCTCCCTCTGCCTCTCTTTCGTAATTCTCACTTTTGTACATCATTTTTAAAAAATGGAGTTATTGTCTCCCAACAACAGTTCTAGGAGAACCAAGCAATGGCTTCCTCCGAGAAGAGGACAGGTCAAGCTTATGATCGTTCGCAAACTCCTCAAATCCACGGCTTCGGTCGCTTCACTGTGGAAGAGACGAGATTGTTAAATAATTTTTTGTTTTTGTTTGTTATGTTTCCATGTTACTTATGTACATAAGATAGATGTAATATCATGTGTGAACAAAAGTTTTGGTGGACTTGTAAAATATTATTGTAATAATACGAATATTTCTAAAAGAAGATGTTAGAGTTCAAACTTCGTACTAGTGGATGCTTTTGGGACCAAACGTAACTGAGATGATGTGCTAACGAGTCTTGGGACAAAACTGAGATCTGTTGGGACTTTGTACAAAGGCTAACACTTCTCACGATTAGTATAGGTAGCTCTCAAAATCTTCCTATAGATCTAAAACCCACTGCCTTATTAAGAGGTTTAAGAATAAGTCTACTTAAAACCAGCAAAGTCAGCGACAACGACAAAAGACTGTTACAAGAGTGACCACATTCAGATAATTGCCAAACACCAAAACATAAAATTACAAAAACCTTCACTGTCTTCTAGATCACTCACACAGCTAATGAAATCTTGATTTAACACGTTTTTAGTAGATTTACCATATTAACCTTACGTAGCTTGGCTAGCAAGTAAAAGAATTGGTCTGTGGTATTTGTGAATCAGTCTTGTGGGCTTTGATTATTTATTTAAGGGATTAGATTATAGCCTCGCTCTCACATATAACAATCACATTCGAATCGGCTTATCTTCTTCACTCTTTTCATTTCTTTCTACTTCTTCTTTTGCAGCACATAGACCTTTAGATAATTGTGACCATGGAGTTACCATCTCCTTACTGCTCCAAAAGGGAAGAAGAACAAACCATTCCTCCGAAAAGAGGTCAAATCAAGATCACGATCGCTCGCGATCTACTCAGATCAGTGACCTCGAAAACACCACTTCCTAGGAGAGGCCAAATCAAGATCATGATTGCTCGTGATCTAGTCAGATCATGGAACACAAAGGAACATCAAGAAAGGACTCAAGGAGGCTAACTAATTAATTCGCCACTAAGAAGCATCAGATCTTCGAAACTCACCTGAGAGTCTTGTATATATATACAATGTAATGAAATTGTTGGCTTCGGGTTCTTTTGAAGATGTGTTACTGTATATAAATGAGTCTTATAAAAGTTTGGGGGCGAATATGAATACTTTTATATATTTATAACACACTTATGTAAAATAATATGTTTATCAAAGAAGATTTTATTTTATTTTGGATGGGTAAAGTATAAGATTTTGATGAAGTCAAAACAAATCTGATGTAAATTAATAGGTGAGATTGAAAATATTAAAAACTTTAAGGTCAAATGTCGTAAGAAATATAAGTATATGGCTAAAACTGTTATTAACCTGTTTTTAAGAGAGTGTCTCCTATTATTATTACAGTATCCTTCGCCGCCGTCTTTTTAGGGGGTGTTATTGAACAAAGGTTTTTAATGGATTTGAATTATTAGTGGATTTGTAAATGCATTTAACGTGGGATTAAGGTGGATTTCTATGTCATTAGTGGATTTGAAAGATATTACTAACAGGATTTGAAAGTCACTGTTAGTGGATTTTTTTTTTTTAATGTTAAATAAAAATAAGATAAACTACCAATAAATTATGTTAACTGTATCCAAATTAATAAATTAACTAATTGTTCCCATCACGATCCATTACGATGATTTCATTTCTCGTTTTCTTGCACAATATCTTAGAGTGTTAAATCATCAATTTTAAAGCTTTATCTTAATTTCTGATCCGTTTAATCCAATGTTTTCACGACCGGACCGGACCGGCCGGTCCGACCGGTTGACCCATGACCCAGACACAATGGCGGTTTGGGTTTAGTGTTAATATCCAGTAGTAATTAAACCGCGAAAACCCATAAAAACCCGCCAATAACCCACAACCCAGTGAACCGGTCGAACCGGCCAGTTCACGGTTCAAGAAAAACTCTTTGATTTTTGAAAGATTTCATAGGGTTTCACGTTTCACTTTCAATTATATTTAGAAAATTAGAAGTTAAAAGCGGCGACACAAGACACGACTCAAGTTACTCAACACACCTCTCACGTCTCCTTCTTCTCTAGCATATTACTCTAGCGTAAGAAAAGTTGGTTTTCTATGTCATGATCGATCATCTTGTATTATAATAATTGATCCTCATGTTTGTGCATCTTTTTAAAATCTATTTTGCCTCAAATCTGTTTTTTTTCTTTCTTTTGTGAATTTTACAGGTAATGGAAACAGAACATGATGAAAACTATGAAGAAATAGCAGCAGCAAACCGTTCAATCCGAGGAAAAAGTGATATTGCTTGGTCTCATGTCATTCAATCAAAAGATGCAAGAGGGAAAACAGTTTTGGAGTGTGCATATTGTCACAAAAAAAAATTAGGAGGTGGAATTAATAGGATGAAACACCATCTTGCTGGTGTGAAAGGGAATACTGATGCGTGTTTGGTCATTCCTGCAGATGTGCGATATAAGATACAAAACGCATTGAAAGATATTGAGAACAAGAAGAAGAAAAACATTGTTTTGGGTGATATGAACTTAGACGGTCCAGAAATTTATGATGTTGATGGAGACGATATCAATGTTCGCCCAAGTCAAAAGAGGAGGAAACAAGGTATTGATCTACACAACTACTTTAAAAGAGGTGTGCATGATCAGACCCAACCTTCTATAAAAGCGTGTATGCAAAGTAAAGAGAGAATACATGATGTGGATATGTCTGTTGCATTGTGGTTCTATGACGCTTGTATTCCGATGAATGCTGTGAATTCTCCACTTTTCCAGCCCATGATGAGTAAGGTAGCAAGTATGGGGCATGGATATGTGGGACCTTCATACCATGCTCTACGTGTTGGATTGTTGCGAGATGCTAAGGTGCAAGTTTCTTTGATAATTGATGAATTTAAAAGTACTTGGGCTACTACTGGATGTACTCTTATGGCAGATGGATGGAAGGACACAAGACAAAGGCCGCTGATTAATTTTTTAGTTTATTGTCCTAAAGGAATTACGTTTCTCAAGTCGGTTGATGCTTCTGATATATATGCAAATGCTGAGAATTTATGCAACTTGTTTGCTGAACTTGTGGGTATGATCGGTGCAGATAATGTGGTTCATTTTGTGACTGATAGTGCACCCAACTACAAAGCTGCAGGAAAGCTTCTTGTTGAAAAGTTTCCCACCATTGCTTGGTCTCCATGTGCAGCTCATTGTATCAATCTAATATTGGAAGATGTTGTAAAACTACCTTCTGTTCATAGTTTAGTGCACCGTATGGCTAAGGTGACCATCTTTGTTTACAACCACAAGTCGACTTTAAATTGGGTCAGAAAAAGACCAGGTTGGAAAGAGATCATTCGTCCTGGAGAGACACGTTTTGCTACAAATTTCATTGCTCTACAAAGCCTCTATCAACATAAAGAAGATCTACAAGCTTTGGTTACAAGTACAGATCCTGAACTTAAGCAGCTTTTCAAAACATCTAAAGCAAAGGAAGCTAAATTAGTTATCTTGGATGAGCGAATGTGGAATGATTGCTTGATAATAGTCAAGATTATGACTCCTATAATCCGTTTGTTACGTATTTGTGATGCTGATGAGAAGCCTTCGTTGCCATATGTGTATGAAGGGATGTATCGAGCAAGATTAGGCATTAAAAAGATGTTCCAAGAAAAAGACGCTCTCTACAAACCTTATACAACCATCATTGATAGAAGATGGGCCGGCTAATCCCATACTAATCTTCATGCTGCAGCGTACTACTTAAACCCGGCTTTCATGTATGATCAAACTACATTTTGCGAGAAGCCTGAGATTATGAGAGGGTTGATGAATTTATTTGAGAAGCAAATAGTGGCTAGTAAAACACAGCTCTTTCAAGAGCTTAGGACTTATAGAGAACGTGAAGGCAGCTTTTCGCTTCCTATGGCTCTATCTTGCAGCAAAACGTCTCAGCGAGGTAACTTATTAAACATTATATTTCTTTATATGCATGAATTTTACTTGCATTTTATTATATTTAATTATCTGATTTAATTTGATGGATATTTAGATGAATGGTGGAGATATTTTGGTTTTGATGCTCCTAATTTGCAAAAGTTAGCAATAAGAATTCTTAGTCAGACTGCTTCTTCATCTGGATGTGAGCGCAATTGGAGTGTATTTGAAAGAATTCATACCAAGAAGAGGAATAGACTAGAGCATCAACGACTTAATGATCTTGTCTTTGTTCACTACAATTTACGTTTGCAACATAGGTGAGTATCACAATAATTTAGTTTAGTTTGTAACAAGTTACATGTTTTTTTACTTTTTTTTTTAATGTACAGGTTAAAAAGAAAAAGATCATATGATCCTGTTGACTACGAATCTATTGATAAGACAGAGTTTTGGATAGTGGAAGAAGAAGAAGCTGGTGAACTTGAATATGATGAATTAGAGAATGCCCTTGCTGAAGAATATCCAAAAGATCAAGAAGATAATAACGCTGAAGATTCTAATGGTAACTTTGATGATGACTTCACTATGCCACCTGATGAGTACGAATGGAATGCGGGTAGAGATAACTAAAACTGGTTATAATGAACTCTTGTTAGTGTTTTTTTTTTAAGTTTTATCACTTTTATTTGGATTTAAAAATTTTAATCACTTTATTATTTTTGTTAAATTTTATAATATTTTTAAACATTATTATTATTTTATATTTATATTTATGAAACTATATTATTTATATAAGTACATTTTAAACAAAAAAAACTATCGACCCGTGGTCGAACCCGGTTGACCCGGTGACCCAGTGACCCAGAAGGTAGTCCTAACTGCGCTTTCCGGTTCGGGTTTAAAAACATTGGTTACACGGGAGAGACCATGTCTCTGTTGCAATCATTAAATCAAAGGTTTTGGGCATCATATCGATAAATCACTTCTTAATACAAATTGTATCAGTTTCCAATTCGTCATTCGAGAATTCAGGGTAACGAGATAGGTCTACGATGGTAACTCCATTACCAACAAAAGAGTGGAAGAGAGAATGATTCATAAAAAGAAATCAGGTTGGTGTGAAACAGTGATCATTTGGTAAGAGCAAACCTGGGTAGAGCCATCCTTTTTTTTTTCCTTACTCATTCTGAATGAGAGAAAGAGAGAGACTGAAATACTTGAGAATTATGTGGGATTCTGTTTGTTCATATTTTTAGAGTGAAATACGTTAAAATCCAAAGTACCATGAAATCCTATGAATATTCAATAACAATTGTTTTAGAAGTATTCTAAAATACATTAAACAAATACACTATCCAATAACAGCAGATTTTAATGTACTTTTTAAAATACTTAATTGAATAACACTAGATTTTAAAATACCTCAGATTCTCTTAAAATACAATATTCAATAACACCCACTTAGATTTTGGGTAAAAGTAAAAAAAAAATAAAAAAAATGAATCATCTTCGAATCTTAGCGAGAAGATCGCTACGACGGCGGGATTTTAATCTCCGATCACAATCTCGGTCCTTCTGTAACATCATCTCACCGGAATCGAATCGGTAAGTTCTCTCTTCTCCTCTCCCGCATT